CTGTTTTTGTTTCTAGGATCCTCAGCAGCAAAATTGACACATTTTTACAGCAAGTATTCACTAGCTGCAAAACTTTAGGACCAGTGTGTGAAAATTTCATGTAAGGTGCTACATTTAGTACCTGCAGGAGGTATGAAAGTGCCTAATTCATGTTCCATTGCAAATGTAACATGCCACACACACAAAAGTAAATTTTAGTTGTGATTTTTTTTGTGATAGGTTTTTGCAACCTGCTGTTCAGTTTTGCACAGTGATGTCATCTTCCAGTTTAGCTTTATAGATATGCCAGTATTTGAAGTGTGTAACACCCTATGCAGTCATTAACAAGCAAAGTTGTAGCATTTAAAAGTTGTAATGCTTAATGATCTCACCTAAGAAATAAAGTAGGTAAAAGTCTTCAGGATCTGGAGAGTTAGAGGTATGAAACTTTTAACAGAGAGGATAAAAGAGCCTATAATTTTTGTTTATTAAATCTTCATATTTTAGTTTATATCTGTAGGTGGAACAACTAGAGCCAGAGAAAAATATAAAAAGAGAATTAATATTTAAAATCTCAAGGTGAAATTTCTCTTTTGCCTCTGTCATCACTGCAGTTGAGGAGATTATTGCATTATCTCTGTGATGTTTAAGTCTTGTGTATCAGAGAGATGGAGTGAGATGTTCCCCTTCTCTTCAAATAACAGATATTTTTTTGTTTCAGCTGTTTTTTCTTCATGGTCCAGCAACAGCACAGGGAATAAAAGATTACTAGAAATTACTGTAATGTTTTTCAATAAATGTGATCAAATAATTTCAAATATTAGAATACGTTTCAATTTCATTTTGCTTTTGAAAACTTGCTTTTCATATCTGTCATTTTGCTTTTTATATCTGTATTTTACATCAAGCCTCAAGTCTCTGAAGTGCTAACATATCTGAAATGGTATGTTATCCCTGTTAAATTGCCTTATATAGCAGACACAAGCAAAACATTGGAAATACCTTGGTAATTAATACTTCCATGGAGGTGAAAAAATGCCCCACAATACTACAATTATGTTAGTAATTTTTGGAGATGTAAGATTTTTGAGTAGTTCCGCAGAAATGGCATACAATTTTCTGCCAGAAAGAGTTTACTTCCTTCATGGAACTGTTTACCTGCACAGTTTACATCTGCTTATTCCATACCTTAGCTATTGGGGGTGTTTTGCAAATAACCAATTTGGTCATAGGGTCATTAAAATATGACTTAATTATGGGAAATCAAAGGAGTTTTGTAATACTTAGGGTGCAAATTGTATACACTGTTTTCATTTGCATGTTTGTGTAGTACTTTAAACACTTGAGTAGCCCCACAATGGCATTACTAAGGTGAGCATAGATCCATGTCACAGGTTAGTTTACGCAGGCTCTGTGTATGTTACTTTGAAGTTCTGATGGATTTCAGTTCACCCAACTGAGATTTCATCCTCTTGCTATGAGGAAATAAAGAAGCTGTTATACACCCTTATTTCTCCCTTTGTGCCTTTATTGTTGTTTATATCTTCATGTTTCAAGTGGAAGATGGTGCTCTAACATGGTGAGGAAGGTGCTGCTCTAACAGGTTTTGTGAGGGCTTGGCAGCCTTATATTTAAATTACCATTTAGCACATACTGACTGTCTGACAGCTGCAGCATTCTCAGTCTTTAGTGTTACAGTAGACATCCATAGTTGCGTTTAAGTTCAGCCTACCAGAAAGTGTTGGGATCATCAAAAGTTGGTGGGCCATTGTCATTCTGTAACTGGGATTTTAGAATGTGGTGATTGTCCTGCTCTGCTCTGCACTGTGGTGGCCTTACCTTGAGTCTAGTGTGTGGTTTTGAGTGCTGGAATACAAGAATATTAAATTGTTAGGGGGTGTCCAAAGGAGGGCCATGAGGATGGTGAAGAGCCTTGAGGGGAACCCATGTGAGTAGTGGCTGCAGTTGCTTGATGTGTTCAGCCTGGGGAAGAGGAGACTGAGGGGAGCCCTCATTGCAGTTACAGCTTCCTCACAAGGGGAAGAGGAGGGGCAGGCACTGATCTCTTCTCTGTGGTGACCAGTGACAGCACCTGAGGGGATGGCATGAAACTCCGCATCAGGGGAGTTTTACACTGGATATTAAGAAAAGGTTCTTCACCCAGAGGGTGGTTGGGCACTGGAACAGCTCCCCGGGGTCACAGTGCCAGCCTTACAGAGCTCAGCAAGTCTTTGGACAATGCTCTCAGTCACGTGGTGTGACTCTTGGGGTGTTGCACAAGGCTGGAAGTTGGACTTCATCATCCTCATGGGTCCCTTCCAATTCAGGGTATTCTATGATTTTCTGTCTTAGTATGTTTTAACAAAATGTGAAACATCCTAAATTAGAGATGTTTAATGAAAATTGTGGCATGATTTTTAGGTGGGAACATGTAAGTCTTGTATTCACGAACACCTGAAGTCACATCAGCGTTTTAATATAGTAATATCAATACAAGAAAATTGCATGGTAAAATGGGCACAGAAGTGTTCAGTTATCCATTAAATTATAAACATTTTGGATCAGAAACTACTTCAAATCTCTTTTCTGAGATCTCCCACAAATTTTTGTATGTTATAATTTTAGATGTTTGCGCATATAATTCTTGGAAATGTATTTACTAAATATGCTGTTTGGGTAGGTCCTGACTTTGTAAAAATCACTGCTGTAGAAAATTCAAACTTGATTCATGCATGAAATTGAAACTTTAGCTTTCACTCATGTTTTTTGTATCACATAGTATGATTCAGAAGCCAAAGACATTACTTAAGGAAAGTGATATTATTGTATTTATTTTATTACATTTTCCATTCCAACTGTGTCAATAATGTTCTCTTTTTCCTACTTTGTCTGGTGACCTGATCTCAAACAAAGCTAGGCAGTGAATGTTTTTTAACAATAAAAATATAATGTGTAAGGAAGCATTTAAGTAGTTCTTCACTGTACCTTGCTTTTATTGTCCATCAGTCCATTAAAATTAATTCCGGTTTGGGGGAGTTTCACAAGAAAACCACCTTTGGCAGACATTTGGCAGCAAGCAGATGAACTGTTTCTTAATTTCTCCTATTCAGTCAGTGGTTTTCTTTATCTGACTGTCAGCTAGGTCTGAAATCCTGTTGCAGTTTTTGAGAGAAATTTCAGACTTAAAAACAGTTTCTGGTTCATAATTCAGTTCAGCCACAGGACTGCAGTAACCTGTGGCAACATCAGATTTCTGGGGTGGTTATCCCCTCCAGTCCTTAAGTGGTACTTGCTTTTCAAAGGAGACGAACGAAAATAAAAAAAACCCCAACAAAAACAAAAAACAAACAAACAAAAAAAAAATTAAAAAAACCCCAAAAAAAAACAAAGCGAAGAGAAGAAGGGTCTGTGGCTTTTCCCGTACCATGGTTATGGAGAGGCTTTTCTGGCATGTTTATTACAAATCAGGCATTATGGAAAACATGCTCTACTTCTTGGTTGCTTTACCCTTCCATCTTCTATGGTGTCATGAATTGTCCAGGAGAGATGACGGGCCACTCTTCTGACTTCTAATAGATCTCTGGGCATTTTGCTTCATAGAAAGGCTATATTGTTGCAGTTTTGCCACAGAGGTTTGGCTAGTGTTTCATTCTGAAGATTTACACTGATTTACAAAAAAAAAAAACAAAAAACCAAAGAAAGATGACTGATTTAGTTCCTCCTATAGCTGGAAAAGTGAAATACATTTTTGGCATTAAACATTTTTATTTACTTTGTGTATTCAACTAACTGCTATTGTTGTCATAACCACTGTGGTAGTTCAGGAAAATATATACAGCATTTTGGTAAAACCTAGTTTAATTTAAATGTACACAAAGAGCCAAAGAAAGCAAGTGCTTCACTGTAGTGAAATGGCAACTCACTGGTCTTATGCAAATCTAACCACCATTAACATAGTCCTACAAAACAAAGAACAGAGAAAGTATGAACATTTTCCTTAGTAGTAGTCCTGAATTACTAGAACTTCTTCAGGTCTTTTGAAGTAGGCTCTGTAGAATCAGGTATCTCCTATTAACTTGGGAATTATTTTGCATTGGAAAAATGGAAATTATTTTCCATTATTTTCCCATTACTATAAAAATAACAGATGATAATAGAGATAATAAGTTGAAGACTGAGGTGATGAATTCTAGATACAAAAAACCCACACTTTTGTAAGTATATAATGGATTGCAGCAAAAAGAGTATTGCCAGGAAAACCAGCATAGAGCTGTAACACTCTTGAAGAATTAGTTTTTAACACTGCCCATAGTTTTTCTGAGGGGAATAAAGAAGGAGAAGACATGGTTGCTATTTCAGTATCCTCGCAAGTGGAAATGTCGTGACTACAATTCCCTAAAATTCCAGTTTACTTATTCTGGAATCTTGTTTTAAATACTTGTAGAAACCCATGAAGAAGATTCTAAATGTATGAGGCATGGCTTTCCAAAAATAATTGAATAAGTGTTTGCAAGATTTCTGGTAAATAAAGGGGAAATTCTTATATTCCCAGAAGGCCATGGAAGATGTTGTCTGCTGTTGTCCAAAGTGTATTGAACTGAACAGTCCCCTACACCATCTAGATTTTGGTTGTGAAACAACTGAGTGAAACTATCAGTAGTTAGATCTTAATGACCAGTTTGGATTTGGTGGTACTTACAGAATCCTTCCATTTTGTCTGTTATTTTTATTTTTTCTTTGTTTCAATGATATGGTAACAATTACTGGTATCACAAAAGAAAGAAAGAAAGAAGTCTAAGAAGATGCAATTTTCCCAAGAGTAACTTCACTCCCTGTGATGTTAGCTTAAAAGTTATTTCCTTTTTGCATCTTCACAACCATCTTCGTGATATTTTTCAAATTGAAAATACATGTTGGTGATATAACCAATGTGAAGAATTATTATATTGTTCATTGTATATGAGCTGTCTGCAAACATAGTAAATGAGGTACATTTCACTGTTTTGTTTGTTTTGAATTAGGTTCATGCACTATTAGTTCGAGAAGTTGATGTAGAGAAGGTGTCAAGTTTTGAGAACCCATATGTAGATGCAATAAGAAGCTTATGGAATGACCCTGGAATTCAGGAGTGTTATGATAGACGACGGGAATATCAATTATCAGATTCAACTAAATAGTAAGTACATGGTAGCAATGAACAACGAGATATAATCTTCTGTTTCTAACAAAGTGATTTTCACTTTTTTAGCTTATTGTACTATATGTCTGTGTACATGTTTCTTGTGTTATGCACCACAAACATAGCTGAATATACACATAATAAATTGAATTAAGGAGTTGTATACATCTATTTCAGGATTATATCTGTGCTTATTTTACAAAATGACAGTCTGTGATCATTCAAAGTCTTAAATTAACATCCTCACTAGGGATGACTAATTTGGAGGGGATTTTTGTTAAACTTATTCAACTTACTCTCTTCCAACATATAATTACAAATGTAAGATGGGCAAAAATAGTTTCATGTAATGTGACAGTAATGAATACTGGGAAGTGCAACCAAGGTAGACCTCCATACAATTCATAAAAATTGTAATGTCTAAGAACTCCTATTTTCCAGATATTCCAGTTTCCCTCTCTGGCATTTGCAGTCCTAGTGGTGAGGTAAAGAGTACTAAACAAAGGGATTTGTTTCATACTGGACTGTCTTTCTATTATGGAAACAAAGTCTAAACTTTAAGGAACATGGCTGCCAGGAAGAAATCAGGAAAGCACTTCAGGTTAAATTGTTGTTCTAGAGCAACAATAATAAAAATGCACATGTGACTAAAAAATATCTGAAATGTTACCCCTTTCTTGCGAATGGAATCTGATTTAAAAACCGTGTGAAATTTGTCATTGGAATCTGATGTCTGCCTGAAGGTTTACTCCATGAATCTTAGTTATTTTCTAGTGATGTAGCGTACAGCTCAGGTGAAATTTCTCATCTGCTATCAAAGAAACAGATGATGGCCTTTTGATGTTGACCTGTGCTACAGAACGCAGCATGGTTTGCTGTTAAAGCCGTGGCAAAAACCTCCATGGGTTCTACATTGACTTCTGTATTAGCTATGACAAAAATTTATTCCAGTGACATAATTCCAGTCTTCATTTGGCATGTGTATGTGAATGGAAGCCTCTTACTTAAGAAAGTGCACAATGAAGCTTCCATTAAGCTCATTGTAGCAGGACATTAGACATGAAGTACAGATGTGGAATGACATTTATCTGCACAGTAGCCTAAGCATCCTTATCTAGTCCTGCACTTTATAAGGGAATTAGTCAAGACGAACTTACTAGGATTTTGCTGATAGAATTTAGGCAGCTGAAGACTATGGATGCATGACATAAGTCTCCTCAGACACATTGCAATATTATCACCACACCATGACTTTCCTTTGCCCTATGCATAGGGTTTCTGTTGTCCTGTGCAGTTCTCTGTCCTGGTTACCTTCCCAAACCATCATTTTTGCACGTATATTTTGGTGTAGAGTGGTGCAAAGCATAATGGCATCTCTCTTGTATTGCTGAGATTCAGACTGTCCCCTAACATATCATGCTGTGTTTTGGTTTCAGGTGGTAAGGAAACAAATATAATATTACATAAAGAGAAAAATTTGAGGATGAATAAACAGTGATAAGAAAATTTTAGATGCACATTACTAACAATATATTTTCACATTGTTTCTGTGCTGAAATGAGTGGCAGAGTTAAGTAGAAGGTGAGGCAGAGTTCATCTCATATTTTGAATTTCTTGTATTTGTAGGTCCTAACTTTATTTCCACAACAGATGAGATACTGGTTTTCAAATTTAAATAAATGTATGTATTTTGTGTGTTCTACCTTAGAGGATAAATATAGAATTACTCTCCTAAGTAGGAAATAATGATTTGATGCTACTTCAGATCAGATTGTGCTGAATACCATAGTTTCAATCTACTTTTAATTAAATTGGCACCGTAGTGGATCTTTTGAGTAGCATTAAAAATAGTAGGGAATAATCATTAAGTAGCTATTAAAAAAAGCTTCCTAGTACATTGTCTTGCAAAAGGTACATGTGTTTGTTGATTGGTTATTTCTCAAGCTCAGCATGTTTACCAGTCTACCATGAGTTATTGCAGATTTGGTCACTTTATTATAGTTCATGGATTATAGCTATGGATTCTGCAAAATCTTTTAAATTAGACTTGTTAATCACTGTATATTAGTATTTAGAAAAGCCTCTATGTATACTTATGCTTGCAAGTAGCGTTTTTTCCAGGTACATAAGTCCACTAAAAAAAATCATCAGACACAAAAGAAATATTGTTTCAAAAATACAGTATGTGTGTTTACCAGTAAAACACCCAAACAAATTTATTAGCATTATAAATGCCACAAAGAAAGGAAGCAAATTGATTTAAAGCTACTACTGGGATTCACAAGACAGTAAGACAGAAAAAAGCACTTTGTGCTCATTGTCTTCTGACTTGATGTATGAACCAGAATGGTTTGTTGTCCACCAGCTCTCTTGTAAGCATATGTGCCAGTGTCTCATAAGCCTATGTGTCAATGTCATGTGTGTTCTTCATTCGTCCCTTGCACAAGCCTCTCATCTTCTCAGTAGTTTTCCACTGTGTTTTTGTAGTAGTAGTAGTAGTAGTAGTAATGCTTTTTTCTAACATCAGTCTTCAACAAGGGTAAGTGGTGAGTCCTGCCCTTGGGTCACAGCAGGCCAAGGCAGTGATACAGGCAGGGGCAGAGTAGCTGGAAAGCTGCCCAGCAGAAGATGACCCCAGGATGCTGGTTGACAGCAGATGAAGATAAGCCAGCTTGTGGCTGAGAAGGCCAATGGCATCCTGGCTTGGATCATAAATAATGCGGTTGTCAGGACCACGATATTTCTTGTATCAGAAGGACTGTGGAAGGGTTTGTCCCCCTGCAGTCAGCACTGCTGAGGCCACACCTCAAATTCTGTGCCTAGTTCTGGCCCCCTTACTGCAGGACAGACACTGAGGAGCTGAAGCGTGTCCAGAGAAAGGGAACGGAACTGGTGAAGGATCTGGAGCGCAAGTCCTGTGAGGAGCAGCTGAGGGAGCTGGGGGTCTTTAGCCTGGAGTAAAGGGGGCTCAGGTGTAAACTTACCACCCTCTACAACTGCCTTGAAAGAAGGGGGTAGCCAGCTGGTGGTCAGACACTTTTCCAGGTAACAAGAGATAGGACAAGAGGACATAGCCTCAAGTTGCACCTGCTGAGGTTAATTTTTCTGAGCATCAAGAATAATTTCTTCTTGGAAAGAGTTGTTGAGCATTGAATCAGACTGCTTATGGAAGTGGTGGAGTCACCATCCTAGAGCTGTTGAAGAAGTAATTGGATGTTGTACTTAGTGCAACAACTTTGTCTAAGTGACAAAGTGGTGATTGATAAGTGTTGGACTTAATGATGCTTGAGGTCTTTTGCAATCTAAATTATTCTCTTACTACACATAGTCTTTTTCCTGTTATTTTATTGTTTCTAAACTATGTTTCAAGTTTCTAGTATGTCCTGTATATCATATTGCTTTCATTTTCTGACATATTTTGACCTGTTTTGTCATTCTTTGTCATTGTTGGCTTCATTTTTGATGTTTTTATACCCACTGCTTGTACTCTGTAAAAATACATCCAATGTATATTTACTAGAAGAGGTGGGAGTAGTGTCTAAGAAAGAAAATTCCCTGCATTACGGGAGTTGATATGAACTTATTGGAGGCTTAACAAATTCATTCTCTTCTCTTTTCTGACCACTGGATGCTCCAAAGTTTGGATGTTCATGTTGTTTTAAAATCAACTTTTAGACTTCTCTGTAGTAAAGTCAAGAGCACCTCATGTATATAGAGGTTATTTGCTTTCCCTGTGCCTTACCAGGTGACTTAGCCACTTCATTACCATCAAATTACTTCCCTTTAAGATGCAGCCTCACAGTGTGAGACAGATGTAAATTAACATGGAGAATTACCTTTAGTAGTAGCTGTGTGAGGTGAGATGAGATGAGATAATTCAGAATATACTGTACCAGCTGCCTAGACCTTAACCCAAATGTAACAAGGTTACCATTCAACAGTTTGATTGTATCATACCTTTCCGAAGTCTAAGGAAAGGAGAGTCAATATCTTCTGTGTTAAGAGAATTTGGGTTGCAATTGGAATTTTTGAAGATTCATCACCATATTGCTCCAGTATGGCACTAAGGACATACCATTCATGAACAAAATGTAGGAAGTGTTAAGACCTAGAAAGTGTCCCAGAGCCTTGCTTGGCTCAGATTTTCAATTTCATCTTTTTCTGGCCACATGAAATTGAAGTGTTTGGCTGCTGTGTACCTTCAACCAAGGACTTTCTGGTTCCTACACAAGCGCTGAGCATGTCTGTTTATTTTCCCTTCCATGGCTATGTTTTCTAACACTTCAGATAATTAAATATAATTTTCCCATTAGTGTGTTAGCTATGCCAGTGGATATCTATAGCACATTTTGTTATTATATAATGTACTGCTTCTTTAGTCATACATGCCATTGCATTCTCATACATATATACATAAGTCTTTCAGGCTTTTGTTTCTGCAATTGCTGTCACCTTTAGCAGCTCGGTTCCTGCAGTTGCACAGCTTTGCATATACTGTGAGCTCAGGTAGTTGGACAGTTAGTATAGAAATGCAGATTCCCATACTTTACTGTGTAATAAGAACTCAGGGTGTGAATCTGAGGTAATTTACCACATATCACTGATTTTTAACAGAAAAGAAAGATATGAAACCTAGTGATGTTTGCTCAGTAAAGTACACCTTTTGTAAAACTTGTTGCAGGAGGTGTAAGGCTTTGGTCATCTAGTAATTTTTCTATGATAGTATTCCATTTGAGTTTGAAGTATTTTCAAAACTTCAGCTAAACAATTAATTTATACCTGTCAGCTAAAAATATCATCTTTCTTCTGTGTTACTCTTCTGAAACAGGTAAATTTCTGTGGAATTAGCTCCTGTTAAATACAATGTGCTTGGGGGTACACAAGGGGCAAGATCAGCACATGAATCTTAAGTTATTGCTAACGCAGTTTAGTCGATTTCTTGGCATTGCCCTTAGCAATCATTTTTTTATTTCATAAAGGTGTAGGGCATTCTTACA